GGTTTAAATAAAGATAAGGCGGTAAGGAGGTCTCCTACTTTGAAAGTCTCCTTTTCAATATTTAAAATTAGCAGAGCATTACTTCAAATATCTAATAAATATTCATTAGTAGCTTTTGGTTTACTTAACTCAGGAAACAGGACCATAGAAATACTTCTTTGACAAATAGGTTTTTTCTTTTTTTTGTGATGGAGTTTTGCTCCTGTTGCCCAGGCGGGAGTGCAATGGCACAATCTAGGCTCACTGCAACCTCCGCCTCCTGGGTTCAAGCGATTCTCCTGCGTCAGCCTGCCAAGTAGCTGGGATTACAGGCATGCACCACCACACCCGGCTAATTTTGTATTTTTAGTAGAGATGGGGTTTCTCCATGTTGGCCAGGCTGGTCTCGAACTCACGAGCTCAGCTGATCCACCCACCTCAACCTCCCAAAGTGCTGGGATTAGAGGCATAAGCCACTGCACCAGCTGACGAATAGATTTTCACCTAAACTCTCTGTAATCCAGGTCTAGGCACTCTGGGCTGCATGAAAATAAAGAAAAAAAGGAGGAGCAAAAGCCTAGCTTAACATCATTTTGATTCACATTTCTATAGAGTAAGTGTAGTTTAATGACCTGGTAAATGCAAATTATAAGGAATGATTTTCCACCCAAAGTCCAGGTGTAGAATCCTACAAAATTCAATATCCCATCAAAATGTGTGATGGTGAATATCATCAGGTTAGCCTTAAGAATTGCTGAGACTAAGTGTGGTATCATTATGAGATGCCATCTGGATTAGTAGAAAACTGACATGCCACAGAGAAGCCAGATCTGCACATCTCCTGATGAGCAGATTTTGGCGAACCCACTGCTCAGGACAGAACAGCGGAGCCAGTTTATTTGTTCATCCTGTTCTTAAACACTACACTGACCCAATCAGGGTGGCTTATTAGAATACGGTGAAGACTGCATTCTCTTGGTAACTAGCTATCTTCTCCATTTATTGCAGAGACTCGGGAAAACTGCAAAAAGGTTAAGCACATTTGCAGAACAAAAAAGCTTAAATTATCATTTGGAGGAAAAGATAAACAGGCAGTAAATATTTGCATTACCAGGAGGAAGTATGTTTTTCACCATATCTTATATCTGTTACTTAACTATAGTTATTGAATTTCTAAAAACTTCCCCAAAATGGTCAACACTGAGCAAAGTTCTCTCTATAAACAAACAGAAATGAAGTGTTTGTATGCTCTGAGGAAGTAATGACACTGCAGATCACTTACAGTTCTTTTCAATTCATATAGTTGGAACAAAGAATTTTCATTAGCAGGGAGTTGGCAAATAGTAGATACAAATACCTATTCCTTCCTCCACTAAACACACACATGCTTAGACCATTTCACTTTGCAGGCTTCTGGTTACTTGTGAGTCAGTCGAATGTTAACCACATTTGATGGGAAGAAAGTGTGTTCAGAAGAGGACCGACAGAAAAAAGTTAAAGACTCCAGGGACTAGAGTTCTCAAGAAAGTCAAAGAGAACTTCAGGTGATCATGAGAGAATAAAAACTCTGAAAAAATTACCATATGTCCCAGCAATTACTCTCCCAGATGCCAATCCATGAGAAAAGGAAACATATGTCCACATGAAGACTTGTGCTGAAACGTTCACAGCAGCATTATGCATATTGGCCAAAAATGCAAACAACCCAAATGCCGATCAACTGAAGGACAAACAAACTGGTGTGGGCCGGGCACAGAGGCTCACGCCTGTAATCCCAGCACTTTGGGAGGCCGAGGAGGGTGGATCACGAGGTTAGGAGTTCGAGACCAGGCTGACCAACTTGGTGAAACCCCATCTCTACTAAAAATACAAAAATTAGCCGGGTGTGGTGGTGCGCGCCTGTAATCCCAGCTACCCAGGAGGCTGAGGCAGGAGAATTGCTTGAACCCAGGAGGTGGAGGTTGCAGTGAGCCGAGATTGCGCCACTGCACTCCAGTCTGGGCGACAGAGTGAGACTCTGTCTCCAAAACAAACAAACAAACAATGTGGTGTAGCCATAATGGAGTATCATATTCAGCCACAAAAGGAATGAGGCCCTGACATATGCTGCTACATAGATGAACCTTGCAAACGCGATGCTAAGTAAGAGAAGCCAGTCACAAAAGAGCACACACTACATGATTCCATTTATATGAAACGTCCAGTACAAGTCAATCGACAGAAAGCAGATTCGTGGCTACCAGGGCCTGCGGGTAGGAATGAGGAGTGACTATAAATGGGTATGAGGTTTCTTCTTGTGGTGATGGAAATGTCCTAAACCTGGATTGTGGTGATGACTGCACCACTCTGTAAATACACTAAAAATCCTTCAATTGTATGTTTAATATGGGGGAATATCATGGTGTATAAACACATCTCAACAAAGCCGTTAAATGACGACTATGGGGCCAGGTGCGGTGAATCACGCCTGTTAATTCTAGCACTTTGGGAGGCTGAGGTGGGCGGATCACCTGACGTCAGGAGTTCAAGACCAGATTGGCCAACATGATGAAACCCCATCTGTACTAAAAATATAGAAATTAGCCCAGCCCCATCAGCTCCAAGTCATGACGGTCTAGGCTAAGCCCATGGGGTGGGCTGCTGGGATCATGGACAAGGTCAGGAGGCCCTAACCCTGACTTCCACAGGACTGCCTCTGACACTCTGCTGGGATGTGCATTCATGTGTGCGGCTCCCACAGGGGACTGGAAGTAACTTGAAGGCTGAGGCTCTATCAGGTCTGATTCATGTATCTGTCTCTAAGCCCTGCACATGCCCCGAGACACAACCCTGCATGGCTGGCACTTGATAATGTCTATTAGGAAAATCCAATGGTGCTTTGAAAATGTCTTCCTCCATCTCCAGCAGCCTCAAGCAGGATAGTTTAGAGGATTAGAGATAAGCTTTCTAGTTCTGTCTTAGAGAGTCATCCAACCTCTCCAAAGTGTAGTGGAAAAATACCATCTACCTCCTGGGTTGCCATGGGAATTTTAACTCAATCTGATCTCACAGGAGACGCCGTGACCTACTACTGCACAATCATTACCTGAGGCTGAACTTCTGCAGGGCCCCAAGAACATTCTCCCTGGTGATGATGTCCTTGTCCTCCTCCTTCAGTCTTCCCTCCAACATCCACAGCACCTTTGTGTTCTGGGCAAGGTAGAGGCGACCTGATGATACACCAGAGAGCAAACAGGTGAAAGACAGAAATAATTTATCTGGTATGCTACAAAACCACTTTCCATGAAAATTTACTTTGCATATAACACAGTAGAGTTTGGGTAATTTTATGTTCTAAAAAACTTACTGGGCAGGGTGCAGTGGCTCACGCCTATAATCCCAGCAGTTTGGGAGGCTGAGGCAGGCAGATCACCTGAGGAGATCGAGACCAGCCTGGCCAACATGGTGAAACCCTGTCTCTACTAAAAATACAAAAATTAGCTGGGCGTGGTGGCAGGTGCCTGTAAACCCAGCTACTCGGGAGGCTGAAGCAGGAGAATTGCTTGACCCTGGGAGGCAGGTTGCAGTGAGCCGAGATTGCACTACTGCACTCCAGCCTGAATGACAGAGCGAGCGAGATTCCATCTCAAAACAAACAAACAAACAAACAAACAAAAACGTACTGGTTGTGCAAGGTGGCTACGCCTGTAATCCTAGCACTTTTGGAGGCTGAGGCAGGTGGATTGTCTGAGCCGAGGCATTGGAGACCAGCCTGGACAACAGGGCATAACCTCGTCTCCACAGAAACTAAGGAAAATTAGCCAGGTACGATGATGCACACCTGTTCACCCCGCTAACTGGGGGGCTGAGGCGGGAGGAACATTGCTTGAGCCCGGGCAGGTGAGGCTACAGTGAGCTGAGATCATGCCACTGTACTCCAGCCTGGGTGACAGAGTGAGACTCTGTCTCAAAACAAAAACAAAAACAAAAACAAAAAAAAAACACAAAACCCCCACAAAATTTATTAAAAGATATTTCTTCCAAAAGTTGGTTTTATTCAATGAAATATCTGATGACTAGAAAAACCACTCTTCTTGAGAGCTAAACATAATTCATTGCTGTGTTCTTGTGGGGAGCACTGTCCTTTTTTTCCATGAAATCCTGAACCCAACAGTCAGATTTACAAGGAGAAAAGAGGGGTAGATGTGTGTGTTATGAGCCCTTAAGTCTTCACAACAGAGGCAGCCAAGGAATGCTTCCGTCCACACTCTCTGTACAAGGCCTGGAGAAGAAGCAAGATGCCATACCTGGGACCCTGTAATAAGCCCAGAACGGTCACTAGCCTGCTACGGACTTCTGAATTGATATGGAAGATGTTAATTTCAGACATAAGTTTCAACAGTATTATCATATGAATGGTCCTCAGTAACATATCCTGGCGTATCATAAATGTCTGCCAAAAGGATGGAAGAATGAACGAACAAATGAACAAAGTTTTGGAGTATCATATATTCATAATTTGAAAACTCCCTTTATTCACATTGTAAAGAGCTCAAATAAATAAGAACTTATGGAAGATAATGGCACTTTGCAAAATCATTTTAAATTCAGTTATGGGGGCATGTTATTTTCAGAGTTTTCAAATCCTTTGATTTAAGAGGTCATAGTCTTCCGCAGGAAATGGTGCAGTGTTTATTGGCGTCTGCTTTGTTTCACTAAGCTTATTTTGCCGTAACTGTTTCACGTATTTTGCCTTAAGTAGGAAATTATAGAAAATGCATTCATTACCTGTGATATACTTGAAAGCAATATAAAATGTTGCTATGTTACAAAACCAGAAAGTTTTATAAAATAAAACCGGGAGGTTTACAAAATAAACCCCAAAACTGTCTAAATGTGCTCTGACATAAATGAAAGCAATATGACAACAATTTTCACAAAAGACCTTAGATAAATTAAACAGTAACAAACTGAGGAAGCGTCATCTCCGAGAAACTTGGGAGGAACGCTCATTTTCAAAGGAAAAAGCACACCAATGCGACCAAGCTCTTCTCTTTGAAGCAAAGCTGATGTCTCACCTTCTGCCAGTGACGCAAAAGCATTGATGAGCCTGGCCATGTACTGCCGCACCACGTCACTCTTGGAGTGCAGCAACTGAAGCACACTCCTCTGGGGGAAAAAGTCAAGAGGAAAAACAACAAGGTTAAGAAAAGGGAGAGATAAACATATGTCTCCTCTTTGGGTCTGGTAGTTCTCTTCCTCTGCCTGAACTTATTAGAGGTGAAATAAACAGACTAAAGCCAAACATTTCATCTGGAAGCCTTGATTTCCAGCTGAAATTTGATGAGACTTGGCAAAAATAAGTTAAGTCAGATTTCCAAATTAAATGAATTAATTATACAAAGCCCTCAGAACAGTGACTGGCGCAAAGGAAGCAGTCCTGTTTGCTGTTACCGTTGCTGCTGTTTTCCAGGTTAGAATGGCAGATCCAAGACACATGCCTAATTTGGCTCCCTCTAAACCACAGTAAAATTACAATAAATGGACCGTTAAAAAAGATAATTGCCAAGGACAGAGTGAACAGCACGAGAAACAATAACGCCACAATTCTGGAAGTGGGAATGCAGCATGGCAAGAGGCTTAGCAGGCCCAAGAAGGTCAAATCTCAAGGCAGCAACGGGCACTGTGGAATTACCGTTTCCATTACTCACTCCTCAAAGGGCTTAAGAGCTGAAGAAAAATAAATGGAATGGAATGAATGGAAGTTGTTTAAGCAGCAGCTGGATCCCACTCATGTGAGTCCTGCGCATCTCTCAGCACAGGGCAGGGGAGAGGGTGTTCCCCTGTGAGGGTGACATAAAGGGTCTGTGGATGGGGGACACCAGGCAGAGGAGAGCAAGGGTTGCAGGGGTTCTAAAACAAAATGGAGAGCGGGGTTAGTGTCTAAATGCAGAATGAATGTGGAACAGAGGGCCACCCCAAAACTTGGCTCCCAGGACCCTGGCAACCAGACCCTTTCCCTCTAGGCCCAAGATTAGAAGACTATTCTCACGGTGAAGTGACCAGCCCAAGGAGAAAGAACTAGAGACCATGAAATCAGAGGTTCCCAGCAAACGGCCCACCCAGATCCCCCTGGATGGAGCTATCCGTCGACAGGCCCCACCATCACACTCAATGGCTCTGTAGTCCCCTTCACTCCAAATCTCTCATTAGGAGATCATCAAGGACCACCAGACATCTGAGAAAAGTTTCTACCAGGAGGCCAAAACAAACGGGGCCGGGGCGGGCTTGGAGTAAATGAGACTGTGCAGGGAGAAGAAAACTAAAAATTAAATAAAAATTCATCACTAATATCCTCAAAGATATAAGAAACTGTATTATATCCATGAAACAAGAGAAAGCTATCAAAAAGGAAATAAAAGTTTCAACAGAAGGGTCAGAAAATAAAGATGAAGAAATCCAGGGAGGCTGGGCAGGCTGGCTCACGCCTATAATCCCAGCACTTTGGGAGGCCGAGGTGGGCAGATCACTCGAGGTCAGGAGTTTGAGACCAGCCTGGCCAACATGGTGAAACCCCATCTCTACAAAAATACAAAAATTAGCCAGGCGTGGTGCCGCACACCTGTAATCCCAGCTACTCGGGAGGCTGAGGCAGGAGGATTGCTTGAACCCAGGAGGCACAGGTTGCAGTGAGCTGAGATTGTGCCAGGGCAGCAGAGTGAGATAGTCTCAAAAAAAAAAAAAAAAAGAAAAAAGAAATCTCCCAAAGAATGGAACAAAAAGTAGAAAATATGAGCGAAACTATAAGAAAAATAGAAAACCAGTTCAGGAGGTTCAACATTCAGAGACAGAACACAGAAAACAGAAGGAAGAAATCCTCAACAAAATAACTCAAGAAAAAGTTCCCAAAATGAAAGCTGTCAGATTGAAAGGGTCCACAAAGTGCTCAAAACAATGGATTAAAATATACCTCATGAAGGACGTCAATGGGAAACTGGGAAGATTCAATATGCTTCTCAAGAGAGAAACAGGTCACATATGAAAGATAAAGAATTGGAATAGCTTTGGATTTGTGTTTTAAATTTTTAAGTCAAGGTCTCACTTTGTTGCCCAGGATGGAGTGCAGTGGTGTGATCACAGCTCAGAGCCCCAACCTCTTGGGCTCAAGCAATCCTCCCACCTCAGCCCTCTGAGTTAGCTGGGACTACAGGCGCATGCCAACGTGTCTGGTTAATTTTTTTTTTTTTTTTCTCAGCTGCTCACAAATTCCTGGGCTCAAGCGATCCTCCTGCCTTGGCCTCCCAAAGTGCTAGAATTATAGGCATGAGCCACCATACCCAGCTGGCTTTGGATTTCTGAACAGCAAAACTGGAACCTAAAAGACAATGGAGGAATGTCTTCAAAATTCTGAAGGAAAATTATTTACAATCTAGGATTCTATACAAAGAATGAAGACATTTCTTGACCATATATGATTTCAAAATATATACTTCCTGTGCACTTTTTCTCTAGATGCGATTAACTAAAGGATGTGTTCCACCAACCGAGAGAACAAGTCAAGAAATAAGATAATATCAGACACTGGAAACAGAGATCCAATTCAGGAAAGAGGTGAAAGGAATCAACACACGTTTGGTGAAGAGACTCCTGGACAGCAGCTATGCACCAGAATGTTTTCCAGACTAAACTCAGCTGATCCAAGAGGGCGACATATCCAAGGCTGTCATCCCCAAGATGCCTGTTACCATTACACCAATTTAGGTCGAATTTTTGTTGAAGTATAGCATCTACACAGGACACTGCACAGATCACAAGTACAGCCTGATGAGTGTTCACAAAGTGAACATGTGGCTAACTAGTAAACAGATCAAGAAACAGAACATGACCATCATCCCAAAAGCCCTTCCAGAACCCCATTCCAAACCAAGGGTGACCTCTCTCCTGGCTTCTAACATCATAGATGCATGTTGCTTGGCTTTAAATTTTTTGATAAATGAAACCATATATTATATATTCTCTAATGTTTCACTTTTTCATTCAACAATATGTTTGAGATATTCACCCAGGGTCTCTGCTGCATTCCTTCTCATTGCTCGAGGTATCCCATTTTACAAATACATCACAGGTATTCACTCTACTGCTGATGGACATTTGGGTTGCAGCCAGTGTTTTGGTTCTAGAAGTGCAGCTATGAATATTCTTGCATGTTTTTTAGTGAACATATGGACATGTTTTGGGTGGGGCTTACTTAGGAGTGGCTTTGTTAGGACACAGGTATTCAGTTTTAGTAAATGCTGCCTGTGTTCCAAAGTAGTGCACCATGTCCTAATTTTTAAACAGAGTACAAAATAGCTGGTGAGACGAGCCCAGACTTATCTGCATTTGGATAACCCTGATCATATGCTAGTGAAGTTCCAGCTCCCCTTTCCATGCCCTGCTTTGTGGATTAGCTGTGAACAGTCTTTCTACTGCCACAGAAGTGTTCTCAAGTGATCAACCCCTGAGAACTAGGAGGAGATCAGGTGAGCTTACGAGACAAAATACAGAGCAGCTCACCATTGCCCTTGGGCATAAATATTGCTGCTGGGCCGGGTGCAGTGGTTCATGCCTGTAATCTCAGCACTTTGGGAGGCTGAGGCGGGCGGATCACCTGAGGTCAGGAGTTCGAGACCAGCCTGGCCAACATGGCGAAACCCCATCTGTAATAAAAATACAAAAATTAGTTGGGAATGGTGGCACGCACCTGTAGTCCCAGCTACTCAGGAGGCTGAGGTGGGAGAATTGCTTGAACCCAGCAGACAGAGGTTGCAGTGAGCCAAGATCGCACCACTGCACTCCAGCCTGGGCAACAGAGCGAGACAGTCTCAAAAAATTAAAAAATAAATAAATATAGCTGTTGGACAACTGGTACCTGGCCAATCTTTCAACTCTGCCCGATGCTCTATGTTTCCCAGGACTGTCTCCCACCTTTGATGACCAATGTTCCCAGAGGGGATCAATAAGTGCTCAGGGAAGCTATGTCCAAATGTCATCCCAAACTTTGGTTTATGCCATCTTCTCCTAGCTAACTTCATCTAACACGAGCACAGTCCTGTTCCCTTGCAGAGCGAGGCTGGTGCCTGCTACTCAGCCCAAAAGCAAATGCTGTATTATGCAGGATATACACATAGATGGGAAAACTATAAAGAAAAAGCAAGGGGCAGATTAACACAACAGTCAGGATGTGCATGCACACTTCACAGCAGCACTATTCACAGTAGCCAAAAGGTGGAGGCAATGCAAATGTCCACTGATGGAGGAACAGATAGATATGCAAAATATGGTCCATCCATACAATGAAATATTAGCCTTAAAAAGGAAAGAAATTCTGACATATGCTACATGGATGAATCTGAGGACATTAGCTAAGTGAAATAAGCCAGTCACAAAAAGAAAAATACTGTACAATTCTACTTATATGAGGTATTTGGAGAAGTCACAATCATAGAGACAGATAGTAGAATGGGAATTTGCCAGGGACCTGGAGTAGGGGGGAATGGAGAATTATTGCTTAATGGCTACAGAGTTTCAGTTTTACAAGATGAAAAAAGTTATTTATGGAGACAGATGGCACGTGATGGTTGCACATTATGAATGTGTTTAATACCACTGAACTGTACACTTAAAAATGGGTAAGATGCTTAGAGATATGAAGGGAGATATTTATGAAGTCTAGAAACTAAGAATTCAGCTAAAAATGAAAAATTCAGTTCTCTATAATTTCATTAAATTTGGCTCCATTCAAGTTTTTGGTCTCGAGTGTTGCAGGAAGTCAGGGGCCCCGAATGGAGGGACCGGCTGGAGCTGCGGCAGAGGACCATAAATTATGAAGATTTCATTTTAATATGGACATTTATCAGTTTTCAAATAATACTTTTATAATTTCTTATGCCTGTCTTTAATCTCTTAATCCTGTTATCTTCGTAAGCTGAGGATGTACGTCACCTCAGGACCACTGTGATAACTGTGTTAACTGTACATATTGATTGTAAAACATGTGTGCTTGAACAATATGAAATCAGTGCACCTTGAAAAAGAACAGAATAACAGTGATTTTTAGGGAACAAGGGAAGACAACCATAAGGTCTGACTGCCTGCAGGGTCAGGCAAAAAGAGTCATATTTTTCTTC